ATTTTGCCCTCACTTCTAAACCTTTTGACTCTAAGGTTCCCATAGAGATGAGATTTCTCATTAAATCTGGTACATAATGGACACCTATTAAGGTTCTCATTGATCCATCCTGATTTCTCAAGCGAATTGAACCAATCCCAAGTGTGTCAAGAGGGGAATTATTTGTTGTGTAGATAATTCCACCTTTTAGTTCTTTAAAATCAAAGAATCATTCTCTATTGGGGGTCATATAGTGGCTACAAGTTGAATCTAACAGCCATGAACTGGAACAGCTGGTTGATGGCGTAGCAGCGAATGCGAAATCTGAATATGTATCATCATACTCGACCATATTTGATTCTGAGACAACCTTTCCTCTTTCAGGTTTGCCTTTATTCTTTAGCCTGAGACATTCTTTCTTCCAGTGCCCTTTTTCTCGACAAAAGGCACATTAATCTTTACTCAATCTGGACTTTGACTTCGATCTCCCTCTCCTTCCTTTATTCTGACTCTTCAAACAACCTCTAACAACAAGAGCTTCTGCTTCAACACTTGTGTTTTCTTGTTTGTCTTTCTTTCTCAATTCATAACTATACAAGGCAACAGTTACTTCACTGAGAGACACATCAACCTTCCCATGAAGTAGAGTAGTTTCAAGATACTCAAACTCATCAGGAAGTGATCCCATCAACATTAGAGCTAGATCTTCGTCTTCAAAAGTCACGTTCATATTAATCAGATCAGTCACCAGCTGATTAAAGCTAGTAATGTGATCATTCATAGTAGTATCTGGTACATAGTTGAAGCGGAACAATCTCTTTTTCATGTAGAGCTTGTTCTGACCGCTTTTCTTCAAAAAGTTATCCTCCAGTGCCTTCCACAATTTACTTGCATAAGTTTTCTTAGAAAATGCATACTTCTGCTCTCTAGAAAGACACGATCGAATAGTAACACATGTCAATCTATTGATCCTCTTCCATTCTTTCTCCTCAACATCATATGGTTATCTCCTTCAATAACAATGTCTAGACCCTGCTGAAATAGGACATCTAGAACCTCACTTTTTACATGCCGAAATGATCGGTGCCATAAAAAAATCTCCACTGCAAATCTAACATTTGTCACAGCATTTCTTGCGAATGTTTTTGTGTCGTCTGCCATTTCTATTATAAATTCTATTTAATAGCTGTCAATGCGGAATGTCAATTACCCCAAGGAATTTTTTTTCTGATGTGGAAGATCAGCCTAAGGAGCAACCACAGAGCATACTAAAATAAATCAAGAGCTCTGATACCAATTTTTGTGGAATTCGGGTTTATTTCCACCAATAATAACAAATTCACCTTGAAAACTATTATCTAGGTAACTAGTGTGAAAACGATTATACTAAAAATCACCCCAAAGTAGATTCCCAGGAAAGAGGATGGGTCACAATGGTCCCTCTTAAAACCCACTTTCCTTAGACAGAACTACCAAGATAAGTAATTTTAATAGGACAATAATTAACAACAACTATACCCGACAATAGCTATTAAATAGACATAAAGCGAACACCAAAATTTAACGAGGTTAGGCCAAAATTATGCCTACCTCCTAGAACACTACTAAAATAATATTTCACTAATAGAGGAAATATTACAAAGAGAAAAAAAGAATACAAATAGCCTTTAATATAGAAGAAGACTTATATTTGTGGGATGCTTAATTAAGGTGGAGGAGAGCTCTATTTATAACAAAAGAATTTCCCCTCCTCCTTATACACAACCAATGTGGGACTTTGCCAAAAAAACCAACAAAAATAACAACCGTAAGATAATAATTAAATCAATATTATACTGATGAAGAGTATTATCTTAATTTTAATTAATATTAAATTAATAAAGGATCAATCTCGAATTTCATTACCTTTCTTGTTCTTGGTGGTGTGCGCGTGGGTGGTCTTGTAATCAGGAATGGGTACACAACCGGAGTCGATACGGTTAACGTCTTGGACAAGGATTTGATAGTGTGTCTTCACTTGTTCAGCAGTTTTTCCGCCGACAGCCTTGGCGACATTGTGCCAGCAATCTGGGGTGTCCTTGTCGTACGCAGCCAATGCCATTTCGAACAGGTTGTTTTGCCTCGGGGTTCATGAACTTGAATCTCCGGAGCTGGAAGCCATAATCAATCGCTTTGGAATTTTAAACTAAAACGATTGCTAGAAAAGAAAGAGCAAAAGATGGCTTATAGTTGAGCAGTTACTGGCTTGTGCTAGAGACCACCATATGCTCTACTTATAAGCTTTACCAGTGGAGATTTTGCCGAGCGGAGTGACCCGTCTCTTACTGTAGTTTGGTTGCTCCAAATGATTGAAATATGTAATCTCTTGAAACATAACAAGACAATGGTCCCAAGAAAGTAGTAAAACATGATCAAAATCTATGATGGGTTTGAAAGCTATTACCCATTTATGGAAATAATACTCTTTTTTTTTTTACTTTAAAAAAAACTTAAAATGACACTCAAACAATATTAATGGATCAAAATAATATCCTTTTGATTAAGGGTTAATTGCATCGCATGTCCTCAAAATACGATCCTCATTTTAAATTGGTTCATAAACTTTTAAATATTCTACTTTCATCTCTAAACTATGACTATCGTTCTAAATTAGTCCTCAAACTTTTGAAAAATTCAATTTCATCTACTTCATACGGGGCCAGTGTTTGTAGTAAGTGCACGTTAAAAATCCGTAACAACAGCAATTAATGCATCTACTTGGAAGATGGAAAAACAATCATCACAAATGGATGCTACTTCTTGTTTTGTGCTTCAATCCCCATTGCAGAAGCTTTCTTGCCGGTGTAAAAAGGGAAGAGAAAATAACGTCACCTTTCAAGCAGACAATCCTGAAACTACCCCATAGGCCATAGCAAGCAACAAGTAGTTGATAAGCTGCAGTTGTTAAAAAGTAATTTGAAGCTGACCTGCTTTCCCATGTTGAATGGGATGTATTTAATCATGTGTGCAATCTGAGGACTCATTGTAAGGACAAAGACAAGGATCCAGCAATATAGGCCAAAAGACACGAACATGGAATACGGAAAAGAAAGTCATCATAAATGCTATGCAGAAAACCTTGGTGATGGAATACCTGCAAAAATCATTAAACAGAGCAAGTATTATTCTTAAATATGCATTCATTAAAGCATATATTCATACAAATCTTAAGCAAGACAACAAGCATCCTAATGGTTGAAGAAATATTATCATGGGAAACAATCACATCCATTACGAATATGTTCAATTTTGTCTAGAAAATCAGACAGTGTCGTTGCCTTAATAGAATGAACTCCTGCGACATATATATTCATTACAGAAGAGAAATAAAAAAGATAAAATTTCAATTACCAGAACTTAAACTCTGGTAGACTTGGAATAAATGGTTTAAATTCATCAGACCCTTTTTGTAGGCAGTAAAGGCTCATCGGATCAAAAATCCTATAAGCAAATTCAGCAGGGAGGTAGATCCCAAGGCCAAGCCTTGAATATTCCGTAAACAAGGGCACCTATAAGCTGTATGAGGAGTAGTCTTATCCGCATAATACTGATACATACTCCAAGCATTGTGACAAAGGTGATCCCTTCCATTCAATATTAGCTCCACTTCAAACCCTACATAAGAATCTAATCAAGTTTATTAGCTTCCCCCAAAACATCCATTAACTCAATATTTTAGTAAGCACAGAGATAAAGCACCAGAGCTACTCATTTTCAATTAATAGAGGAGGAAAAACAAGTGTTCGGAGATGGTCGTTTAATTTTCAATAAATATTTTTTTCATTTTATTATTTAGAGTAAATTACACCGTTCCTCACTGAACTATACTCTCTCTCCTATTTTCCTCACCCAACTTTCATTTTTTTTAATTTTATCACTGAACTTTACAAATTAAATCATTTTGCTCACTCTGTTGTTAACTATTTAACAGTGTTATGACATGACACAATAAATGTCACCGGCCACCACGCTATTTTCGTTCTGGCCACTGCCGTTAATGGTGGTCGTTCGATCCCAAATTCATGGGCTGGCTCATCTCATCCCCTGAGACCGAATCTAGTGGTTATTTCACCGGAAAATATCCCAACCCCTGTGAATCTAGATTGAAATGTTTCGGCTTCCACACTTTCAATCTCAAAATCGTGGACTTCAAAGCAAGTTTCGACAAAATAGAGGTCGCATTCGGACTCACGGTGTCGATGTGAAGCGACCCATGAAATTTGAGACCGAACGACCACCATCTGCGGTGGCCAACAGTGATATCCTCAATCTTTTTGTTAACGACGTTAGAGAGATAACAAGTGAATGAGCAAAATAATTCAATTTGTAAAGTTCACTAAGAAATTAGAAAAATTAAAAGTTGAGGAGGAAAATAAGAGAGAGAGTATAGTTCAACAAGGAACAGTGTAATTTACCCTATTATTTAATACCGTTGAACGGAACAGCAAGGCGACTTGATCAGGGTAGTACGGTCGTTGTAAACAACGGAATATGCCTTCTTATCATTTCCTTTATCTTTTTGTTCTAATTCAAATATATCGGTAAACGTAATAATAATGACTTATTAAAATAATATGAAAAACCATACTATACAATACGATTTGATTATCGATTCCTACGCATTTTACATGTTTCTGATTATTCATTCTTAGTGGATTGCTTATGAAAGACAAATTTTAAAGTTGGAATATGAAAAACTGATCTGTTTTTTAAATGTGCTTTTCTAGACAAGTCTGACAATATATGCTATACATGTGTAAACTTGAAACAAGTGTTGGTTCGTAAATGCCCTTTATTGGCATCAATTTACCCATACAATAACGAAACATGAAAATGCAATGCTAAGATGCAAGTGTTTAGACCACCAATCAGTCTTATTTGGGAAAACTGAGCCCAACAAAATCTCAAAAATCATCCTTTAAATCACAAGGATAACTATGGTCTTAAGTTTAAACAAAAGGAACCATTTGCACAAGTCAAACTCAGCAAAGGCGATACCATATATGACTAATTAAGGAAAATTATAACAAAAAAATCTAGGTGTTTGTAGCCCTAGTGTAAATCTGCTGGCTCGAATGGGCAGAAACCAACCTAATCGACCCTCTTGCCATCAATTCCCTTATAGCCTTTCTAGCAAGTGATCCATTAATCTGCAAGGCACAAACAAAACAATATTAAGACTATCCAGATGCAGATTCATGTAATATGAATTCACACATACATCAAGAAGCACACAATGAATCAAGTGTATGCCAAACACCTTAATCAGAGAAACAGTTGATTCAAAAGAACTAAAGCTTTACAGTCATTGTAATCAAACAGAAAGAGTTCATCCCAAAGATACATTCGACTTACATTTCAAAGGTATCTTAGCTCCCGTTAAGATAATGTTTAACTTTCTTAAGCTATATTACAGGCTATAATCAAGAACCTAGATAAATACCTGAAAATCCCTTAATCGAAGAAATCCATGTGAGGAACAAGAAGACGATATTTGACTTAAATGGCCAAATACAGATTCATGTTATATAACTCATACATGCATTTAGAAACAGCCATATATATATATATATAACAGTAACCAGAGAAACAAATAACATCTAACTCTATTGAAGCCTTGATTAGAGAGATGGACAATTTGAAAGAATGAATTCTTTATGCATATTAATCGGAAAACAAGAGTTGATCCGAAATTTACTTTAGATTGGCATTCAGTGGTTTTAGCTGCCAGTGCCACAATGTTCAACTTTTGTAAGCTATACTAGGCACTATATTCAAGAACATGAATAAATCCCTGGACAAAACCACATCATTCGGTTCCATGTAGCATCAACAACTAATAGTATCACAATTTACGTAACCAAATGAACAAATTAGATCTCCACATCCAGATAAACAAGATCTAATAGCATCACAATTCACAAATGCAAAATCAAGGGAAAACACCGTACAAAGGAACAATTTACAAATAAAAACGATAAACACAAAAAGAGGTAAAAAAGAGAGTTAAAAGTACCCTCAAACGATCAGAGAGAATAGAGGGAGTGATGAGCTTGTATTTAGGAGCTTCGGCGAGAAGCTTATCATAAGTAGCTTGGTCGAACAGCACCATGTTGTTGACCTTCTCCTTTTGCTTTCCCTTGCTCCACTTCTGTTAATACCCAAAAACGTAAAGGAAAAAAGAAAGAAACCCAAATCATATCCAACTCTAAAACTGCATAAAATCAATCCCCGTCAAATAGATAGCAAAAATGAACTGACCTTCTTCTTCTGCTTGCCACCTCCAGACTTTGCAGGCTTGGATGATGGAGGAGGGGCTTTGTCTTTCTTTGGGGCCTGCAAAAACAAGATGGTTACAATTTACAAATCTAAAACAACGTTGGATTTGTATCTTTAAAGAAGATAAAAATCAGAATGTATTGAAGAATGAAGAGAAGGAGATGAACAAACCATTGGGATCTGCTGAAAATGAAGAAAGAAGGGGGAAGAGATGAGGGCGCTTTTAGATTTGGGTGCGCTTTTAGAAGGAGGGTAAAAAGGGTTGGCTTTTAGTGGGACTAGGGTTTGGGTTGGTTGTAGACGGCCCAAACTCATAACATAAACCCCATAACCTCACAAATAAATACAATTTCGATACCAGATCTGTTTGTTGGGTTAGTTAGAAGAATCTGTAAATTAAAACGTAAATTATTGGATAACGAGCTTCATCTTTTTTATATTCAATTTTAAATTTGACTCGATAATTTAATAATAAATTTTAATTTTATTTATCTTTAAAAAAATTTATTTACTCTAAATTTAATTTAAATATTATCTAAAAATTTAATTCGATATAATTTAACATAACTTTTAGTTTTTATATTTTTCGAAATAAAATAAAATAAATAAAATATTAATTTATTTGAATGAATAATACATTATTAATTTTTAGTATTCTTAATTATATACTATTTTTTACATATATTTTATTAAATATAATTAATAATAACTAAATAACCAAGTGGCCTTAATAATTAAAGAATTATATATATCTCTTGAGATTTGGATTCGAACATAATATTTATAGGAATATATAAACATTCATTGTCAAACGATTGAAATTTTTTCTAAAAGATACTTACCTTTACGCAAGATTGTCTAAAACCAATGTCTTTAGACCGATAAATGCGTAGCTCTAGCTGTTTCATTGATGAGCTGTTGCTCTAATACCATATGTTGATCATTTGTGATCTTAATCCTCTCGGATTATTGACATAACTCATGTCAAGTAATAAGGTATAAAACTAATTAATTCAACCAATAAAGCACTGAACTTTGGTCTTCCAAATTTCAGTCTATTTTCCACAATATGTTTGGCCAAGCATTAGAGGAAAAACCCCTCGAAAATACAGAGTAATCCTAAATCTCTTTAGAACCACCATTCAAGAATAATGTGGAACTAAAGGATTCTCACTTACATATCATATCATCCCTTCAATTCTATCCAACTAAAAAACAAAGAAAAAAAGAAGCATTGGTTTTTCAATTTTCTGCTATCAGTGAACGGTAGGTCTCTACATCAGCATAAGCCTCCAGTAAATTGCCCTGAAATGTTATATACCAGAACATTCAGTCTCGGTCTCGGGTATGATGTGAGTGCTAAATTAAAAAGGAAAAAAAAAATCTAACATGGGTATTTTCAAATTTTTTCCTTCTCCGAGTAACACCATATATATGACATGAATACTTCAAAAGCAAGGATCATACCAACTACATACAACTCCTAGCATCTGGCTCTCACACCGTAATTATGGCACAAGAGAAACCGGTTGAAAGAAACTAATCATCAAATGCACGTTTATAGGGTCATAAATTTACCTAAAAACAGAGCAGATGCTCCCTAGAATTCGACTGCAGCCTGAGTTTGCTGAAACTAAAACAAAGCTCTAGACAGCCATTTTCATCTCTATTCTATCGTGAGGATCATAGCCCATGAGTTTGAAATCAGATGCCACAAAGGAATCTATGTTCTTTTTCTCGGGATTGATCTTCAAAATCTGCATTTTAACATGGTAAGAACATGCTTTAGAAGTTACAAGGTTGCATGGTTTTAAGATTAATTCACCAGACACAATGGAAAAGGTTTAGGCAGTTTCTGAAGCTGCTCCTGCAGGGGCCTAACATGGGTGATATAAACATGTGTATCACCAAGCATGTGGACGAAATCACCAGGAACGAGATCTGTACACAATAGAAGAAATTAATAAAGGCTCTTACAAGACAAGGGTTGTCATGATGTCATCTCAGAGAAGTAGGTACCATTCACAATTTAATCCAATCCATTAGAGTCTAGACTTAGCAGGTTTTCTATTTATTTATCCCATTTACTAATTTATTCTCTACAAGTCTATAATACAAGAAAGCAACGCTATAAAAATGTTACTAGAAAAGATAGTCATTCTTGCTTCTTCCAGCAAACCTTATAACCCTTAACAGCATAAGATGACAATATACCGCAAACATGAGCAATCATGCATGTCAGGAGAGCATAAGATGCGATGCTAAATGGCACGCCCAATCCCATATCAGCAGAACGCTGATACATTTGGCAAGATAACTCCCCATTGGCTACATAGAACTGCAACATTCATATTGGAAAGTATTATTTTTTAAGTACAAAAGAAAGAGACACAAGCTCACTATTTGATACTGACTTGGGCAAACATGTGGCAAGGTGGAAGTGCCCTCAGTTTGAGATCAGAAGGATTCCAAGCTGAGAGTATAATCCTTCTATCATTTGGATTTTTCTTAATTTTGTCAATGACGTCTAACAACTGATCAAATCCTTGTCCAGTGTAGTCAGCATGCATGTCCGTATACCTGGAAAGTATCACAGATACAGGTAAAACATCTTGCAGAAAAATGGATCAGCATTCACCAGCCAAGCATAGTAAAATTCAAAATCCACCAACCAAGCACCAAAATGTCTCCATTGAAACCCATACACAGGTCCCAAGTCACCCTCCTCCCTATTAGTCAAACCAATGCTGTGATTGCAATTCAAACGCAAGTTAGCAACAAGAAGAAAGCAGTACTTAGTTCAACAAGAAATGAATAGCAAAATAGTCAAATAATACCTATCAAGAAAGTCCCTGGATTCATTACCATCCCATATGTGAATGCCATTTTCTTGAAGGACCTGTTAGTGATGCAAATATTTTAGAACGAATCATAACCCTCAGCTCTCATATATCAAAAGAAAACCAGCAGTTGCTAATTCAACCATCCTGCAAATAAGATCAGTTCATCTGGACGACAAAATTGTTTGATGGCCCAAGCAAAATAAATGGACTATTCTGAAACAAATCAAATGTCAACAGAAAAAAGTGGATCCCATCAGAGCATAAAGACGTTTAGCAATGTAAATGGTGCATGTTCATGTTGCTCAAGAAATTATCACCTTGGCATTAGTTGAACCACTGATGAACCAGAGCAACTCCTCTACAACACCTCGCCAAAATACTTTCTGCAGACGAAGCAACACTTATGAAAATCACTTTAACTGTCTACTTAACACTGAAAATAATATTCAAATGAAATAACTCCATTACATAAACATAATAAAAATGATAATGTATATGCCTTAGTTGTCAAAAGCGGAAATGTTCTTCGCAAATTGAATCGCATCTATGGACAACAAAATAAATATTCAGATCAGTGATCAGAAACAAAAAGATCGATTGAAACCTATTTCCGCAAGCAAAAAACATCAGGACTCTAACAAGATTCCTTAGATTACCTGGCAACCAAACTTTGATAAAGTACCAGTCCCAGTCCTGTCGTCCTTAAGATTACCATCACAGATGATATCTTGAACCAAATTCAGGTACAAGTACTCCTCATGTTTCTGAAAAATGGTCTTGGGCAGGAAAGAGAACTTCTTTACCTCAAATTTATCAGTATCTGGTTTATTATCAAAGACCAGATCACAGCTCTGGTTGTTTTGTTCAACTGTTGAGGTTCTCACACGAACATAAGTCGTGAAGCAATACCGAATGTTGTTTTCCACCAAGGGAAATGAAGAGCACCATGGCTGAAATACAGAGGAATCAATGGCAGGCATAAAAGTGTCACATTCAATGCTTGTCTCAAATTCTGTAATGTGAATAGCATCACATCCAGCTGCATTAACGGATTCCCTGCATTATACATTTGGGCATATAAGAGAGGGGAAGAAAAATAACTGAACAAAAGATTTTGCAAAACATTTTAAAAAATAGGTTCCGCACCTAAATATCTGGCAACCACCTATGACAAAAACTTTCTAGATTGAAAGACAATAAGGTGATGCAGCCAATAATTCCAAAGCAGAGGTCATGCTTCCACATATAACAACGTTCTCAGCAGTTGCAATATCAAAACTTCCTGACCGAGTCAGAACAACATTAAGGCGACCTGGAAGAGGCCGATGCTGAAGGGGAATACTTTCCCATGTTTTTCTACCCATTATTACAGCATTCTTTTTCCCAGAGTCTGATGTAGTCAGAGTGATCTCTTTGAAGAATTTGAGATCAGAAGGCAGTTTCCAAGGTAACTTCCCATCCTTGCCAATACCCTTATCTTTAGTCGCAGCCACAACAATTTGGTAAGTCCGCTGTGGATCAGGCTTTGCATTGCCATTAGAAATATCCATCGTGGTGTCAGCAGGCAACCCAACTAAAAGCCAAACAGAAGCTCAAGGATGAAGGCTAGCAACTGTAAACAAAAGAGACAATTTTTCTGGAAGTGCAGCAGAACCCATGTCAGAAACAAGATCGAGGTCAAAAATCAATGTGAAGAACATAAAAATTAAGACTCAAAAGCACAATTAAAATCCAGGAATAAACCTTCCAGGCAAGGGAATCTACCAAGCATTTACTGGAAGTATCCAAATTCCAATAGAAGAGTAAAAAGAAAGGTCCTTCGAAATGAAAACAACTATTTAATCAAGGTCAACCCCATTACATAGCAATCAGAAGTCACTAAAATCAGCACACACAAAAATCATATTTCAACATATCAAAATCCAAAAATTCATAGCCATTTTAAAACAAAAGATCTCAGGACTTAAAAAGGCATCTACTAACGATGCATGCAAGAGGAAACTCCTATACATTTCTAACAAATAATGACGACGGCACACGAGAATTTCCAGAGTAAGTTAAAAGGTAAACAAATAAAACTAAAAAGAAAAAGAAACAGTCATCAATAATCACGCCTCTACCAAACATGCAACTGTTTTAAATACTAAAATATTTCTACCATAATTTTACGGAACCAGACCACCAAATCACCTCTCCGGAACCAAGTTTAAAAATAGAGAGAGAGAGAGAGAGAGAAATGCGAATGAGTTACCCACCAATCGGAGGCGGAAACACAATCTTCGATCAGAAACGGTGAAAGGCCCCGGCTACTTCTTCTGCAACTAGGAAAATATTAAAAAGAAAGAAAAAGAGAGAGAAATTAGGAAAATAAATAGTGAAAGTTGGAGTGGGGAAGAGGAAGAGAGGGCAAAAATCCAAAAAACACAGGTTGACGCGGAGTATCACTGCCGCCTATTTTTATTTTA